CTGGGAATCAAGATGAAGAATAAAATAGCAGCTGCTGTTACTGAGAGCTTGCTATTGCCACGGACCGTGCTAAGGTCTTTTTTGTGTATCATCTCATTTAATCCTTACGACCTTTGAAAAAGGGGTTATTATTATCCCCATCTTAGAGATAAGGTCACCGAGTCTTGGAGTGTTTAGGTAATTTTGCTACAATCACACAACTGATCCCGCCAGAGCCTGAGCTTCTTCACCAACAGGCTACATTGCCCCCTTTGAGGAGTTATCTTGGGAGACACATACCAGGATAACTGAATTATAATTTGAATAAAGTGCTGTGGCATCACAGAGGAGGGGAAAGGAAAATTATATTTATTGAGCTAGTATGTCAGACACAGGGCCTGGCTCTTTGCCCATAAGCTTTCTCTTTAACTCCCACAAATTCTTAAGGCTGGTATTATTCTCAAATCTCACAAAGGTTAAGTAACAGGTCCAAGGTCACACTGGTAAAGCCTGGGTCTGAACCCAGATCTGTGTGGCTCCAAAGCTGAGGAGAATAGGAAAGGCTTTCCTGGGGATGTGATACTTCAGAGGCTTCCCAAATTTGTGTCAGGTGACATGGCAGGTGCAGGAGAAAAGGCCAGGTGGGTATATTCTGGGCAGAAAAAGGAAAGACCTAGAGAAGGGGAAAAGCATGGACTGCTTAGGAGATGGGAGTAGGGGGTACTTAAGCTGTGCTCCTGGTGCAAAGGCCCCTCCTTTTAGCATCTCAGGGAAACTCAGCAGTGGGATGGGTCCCTGAAGGAGCCGTCGCAAGCTGCTCAGGCCCCAGGTCACTGGAGGTCACTGGAGCAACACGGCACTCCCTGCTTCAAGGCTAAGCTGAGGCCCCAGCACGCACGGGAAGTGGGGAGGCTCCTGGATGTCCGGGCCCTTGTCCTGCCCAGCTCTGGTCCCTGACCCTGCCTGCTTCCTGTCCCCACAGGTTCACGGGAGCCAGCCTCCCAGCCCCTGTCATCAGCAGCAAGAACTGGCTGCGGCTGCACTTCACATCGGACGGGAACCACCGGCAGCGCGGCTTCAGCGCCCAGTACCAAGGTAGGCGGGGCCCGGGACTGCCGTGCTTGTGCAGTGGGCAGCAGAGAGGACGCCTGGAGCACTCATCTCATCCCGTCCCAAAACTGGGTCTGCTGTGGCTTCAGGGCATCCTTGCCTCCATTTTCCCTTCCTATTTGCAGGCCCAGAGATCTGCATATCTGCATCTCTGCATCTGTCGTTATAGTCTTTTGCCCCAGGGAGTGACATTTCTCAGATCTTGTAGCCTGGGCTTCCCCCTTCAGGTCAGGCTAATCATAATAGTTAATACTCACTGAGTGTCTTTAAGAGCCAGGCACAGTGCTAGGCACTTGACAAGTACCATCTCATTGAATCGTCACCATTACCCTGCAAGGTAAATACTGTCACTACCCCATTTTACGGACAAGGAAGCTGAGGCTCAGAGAAATTAAATCGATTTCATAAGGCCATCTGAACTCCTGCCTTTTGAGTCTAGAGCCCACCCTCCTAAACCCCAGCCTTTAGCCAACCTCGGTACAAAGTGGGAGAGCAGCTCACGTGTCAACTCTCTTTCATTTTATCTAGAACACGAATGTATTACATAGGCAGCATCAGTTTAGGGAACATTGTAGCTTAGATGCTCAAATCTGTGAAGAGCTATCTAGTGGCGAGAGATCAGACCAGGAATAGCATGTGGAAATTGAGCATATTTCTACTGTAATAATGAAGAGTTTCCTAATCCCAAGAGTTGCCTGTGAAAAGGAGTGGGTTAACCTATAAAGGGGGAGCACTCTGTCACTGGAGGAGATCCACAAATCCACTGGTATATGGGGGTGGATAAGGACATTCCTTTTTAACACTGACTTTATTCAAAGTACTCTAAATTTATAGAGGTAAACACCAAGGGTTGACCTCATAACATGCTCATTAAGCCCTTAACTATTACCAATCACAAATTCATGTTGGTTTTAATAGATTTGACAATGAACTTATATTGCATACCTATTAATTATAAAGCCCAAACAAAGCCCTAGGTCTCTGAGGCCAAGTGCCTGCTGGCCCACCCCGGTGGTGGCACGGGGCAGAGAGCAGCTGCCTCCTCGAGGCCACTGGGGCCAGGCTTTCTGGAGAGAAACTGGGATAAAAGCAGCACTGGAGGCAGAAGAATCACCTTCAAAATCTGCACCTTTTATGAGTGGCCTCATTTACTTAGACTTGGGTAGCAGGACATGCTTGAAATATCTAAAAAGTAAACAAGAAACCAACTTGATCCAACGAGCTTAACAGAAGCCTCACTGGAGAGCTTCCTTGGAGACATGTTTTTGCTGCTGATCTTGGGCCTTTGTGTGACTAGAACAGCTGTCTAAATCTTTCTGTCGTGTTTTCCAAAATAGAAAAGTAGAGATGAATGTTATAATTTTTCTGATTAAATAAGTGTTGGGTGTTTCTAATATTCCAAGTTACTGCAGGCCCATATGTCAAGGTTAAGGTTTGATGGCAGACCATGGGCAGTAAGAACCTAGACCAGGTGGTCTCTAGATGATGTGTTGACTGCATACCTACTGCACACCAGGCCCTGTGCTAGGCAGTGTACATGCACTGCCCCCATCCAATCCTTCCCACAGCGCAGTAACATATGTGTTCTTATTCCCATTTTTTTCAGTTGAGGAAGCTGAGGCTCAGAAAGGTTGTTAACTAGCCCAAGATCACACAGCCTTTAAGTGGTGAAACTCAAATTCATTCCTAGGCCTCTGTGAGTTTTTCTGCAAAATCACAGAGCCTCTTCTCATTGTGCTTTGGGTTCCCTTTCCTATTTAAGCATAGCTTTGAAATTTTGTTGTGTTAATCTCATCCCACTGTAAAAAAAAAAAAAAAAACTTCACCATCCAATACACACACATCTACAAGACTAAAGAGAAAATGTCACCAAGTGGTGTTTAACTTTACTAAGCATGATGCACCCTGAAAATTTCTTTTCCATTTTTAAAATCTAGTTGCAACCTCTAAATTAATTTCATAAGTCTGTAGCAGGGAACAGCTCACAATTGGAAAAACACTGTTTTAGTTGCAAACTTCTTGAAAGCAGGCCCTATCTCCTCCTCTCTCCATCTCCTTTGACACAGCCCAGATGGAATTTTGCATATTAGTGCGTGCCAGTATTTAAGGAGGGCTTCGTAGTTTCAGGCACTTGGCGATTATTACTTCATTCAATCCTAACAGCAATTGTGTGAAGTAAGTCCTATTATTAGATGCTGCATTCTACTGACAAAGAAAGAGAGTCCCAGAGAAGGTACATAGCTGGCTCAAGGTCTAATTATTACTTCATTCAATCCTAACAGCAATTGTGTGAAGTAAGTCCTATTATTAGCTGCTGCATTCTACTGACAAAGAAAGAGAGTCCCAGAGAAGGTACATAGCTGGCTCAAGGTCTCATCAATAGTGTGTTGGAGCCAAATTTTGAAACTCAGCAGTGTTAGTTTGGATCTGGCATGATTAATTACTGTGATTGTGTTAATAAATGATTCTCCTCTGGGACCTGGTTTTTTCTAGTGTTTTCCAGACTGAGAGTGCATAGTGCAAGGATATACAATGATCATTTAGTAACTCAAATGGTGACTCCATAAAGCAATGTTTCTCCATGTCAGCACTATTGACACTGCGGGCTAGATAATTGTATCGTGGGGACCATGCTGTGCATCGCAGGATGTTTAGCAGCGTCTTTGGCCTCTACCCTCTGCATGCTAGATGCCAGTAGCACCCGCTCACACACACATGCACACACACACAATAATGAAGACCAAAACAGTCCCCAAACGTTGCCAAATGTTGTTTGGGTACAAAATTACTCCGAGTTGAGAACCACTGCTCTAAAGGAATGAAAACTTTGGCACCACTAAAGACAAGTCTAAATTTCGCTGCTTGCAAATACTTTTCAAAACAGTGGCAGAGAGATTTCAGTCAGAGGTCCAGGGGGAAACAGAAGTCATACTGCACGGTTTTAACTGAAGATGGTTTAGTGAAGGGACACTTTACAGAGGTGAGGGTGGGGTTAAAGGAACCAACAAGGATAGTAA